CATCTGTTCCTTGAGGAGTTGGAGAAGGCAGGTTGCTGGGAGAAAAAATAATTCTCATTGGCCCTGTGAATGGGGCTAGCTATGGGATGCATGACGTGCCCTGGTTGTACAAAAGAGACAAGGGAGAATGAGGGGGGCATGAGAGCAGCAGATATGCCCTTCATTGGGACATCTTGGAAAACCAGGTCACAGTTGCTGGGTAGGTACCCACTTGAGCCTGGAGAGGTGGTACCAGCACTGATATCCCAGGACCTTGGGGGTATGGCATGCCAGATTGAGCCATCACATCTGCTGTTCCCCTGGAGGTTTGAGATGCCTCTATCCAGACTATAAAAGTGTCAACAAGAATTAGAAGATAACGGAGCTTTTTATGAGTGGGCATGTGGGTGAAGTCAACCTGCCAATTCTCCCCTGTTGGTATCCTCAAAGCTGGTCCAGGGGCTGGTATGTCTGGAGGGCCACCTCTGGGTTGGGCTTGGCACACATCTGGCAGGAGTGGATCTTGTCTTGGCAAAGTGGGGTAATCAATTCCCTAGGAACCTGCAGGTGTCTGTAAAGCAACTAGAACAGATTTACATCTTGGTGTCATAGCAAAAGGCTACAGCTTTGGGTTAAAAGGTATGAACATTTTTCCTAGGGCCTGTTTTTAGCCCAATGAAAGACCCTTTTTATTCTATACGTAGAGGAAAACCAGAGGAAATGTTTTGAATGCAAGAGGTTGAATGAGTGGAGGAGGAGGAGGGAGGAAGGGACAGAGTTGAACAGGCTGGCAGGCTTCCATACCCGCTCTCATGCGAACCTGCCTCTGAAAGCTGGGACCAGTAACATCCACAGAACTCTCAGGACTCCTGAAAACTATTTGTAGTCAATGGTATCAGTTTATCTATTGATGCTAAAACTCTGAACCTCCAAAGTTACATTTGAAACTTGTATATCCTAGACCACGGAGTGAGGCACACAGGTCTGTGTCTTTAACAGGAAGTTTAACTGATGAACTAATGAGCTACCAAGGTAGCGTAGCCTTGGGGGTGTTGGGGGAAGAGCAGTTAAGCTGGGAAATCTATCAGTACCCTAGTCCTCAAACACCATCAGATCTGAAAAGGATAAATTTAATAAGTGAGACAGCTTTCCAGCTATCCAGGCAGCTGCCCCAGGATTCTCCATGGCCATCAAGGCAGTATCAGTCTTCAGCTGCCACGCCCAGGAGACATGACAGACTTTTCTGTGGAGTAGGCAGTGGGGCGATCAACCCAGGAGACCTGACAGACTTTTCTGTGGAGTAGGCAGTGGGGCGATCAATTCCCAGTGTTCCACCCATCCACAGTGTGGACAGGGTCTTAGCAGCAGGCAAGGAGCAAGGCAGGTGACTGGCCCGCTATCTTTCAGGCAAGCCCCAGGGGGGGGAGTTTTTCTGCAGCCATCCACAGCTTCCTTGAAGGAGATACAGGATGCTGCCGGGAGCTGGCATGTCTCTATCATAAGAAGTTTTTTTTTGTTTTATTTTTTGTTTGTTTGTTTTTATTAAAATGCCATGTTCTCAGATCTCTGATGTGTTTGAAGATCAGGGGATCATTGTTAGGCATATCTAAACTAGACAAATGTTGTTTAGGCTTAACTTTGAGAATATATATAATGGTTTTCTGTATGACTTAGTTTATTGAATTAACTACAGCTTATCAATGTTAGTAAAAGCAAGGAGGTTAGACATATATTTTTAAATTGGTGTTTGTTAGTCTGAATAGACCTTAGATAAGGAGAGACCATTTGTCAGACTGTTTAGGTCATCTTAGGAATATCTCAATCTCTGGTACTCAGCTGTGGTCCTAAAACATAGAGCATAACTGTAATCTGTGGAAGGAAAAACCAGGTTTTAACATTTTACAAAATCTGGCAAGATGCATCCCTGTAACATGGATGCATGGAGTGCAGCTTTGTTGCCTCATTTTAAAATCCCATCTTTCATAAACCTTGTTTTTAGGGCAGGAATTATCACACAGAAATCCATCCTAATCCAAAATGACTCGGAGACCTGATGTTTCCTGGGTGGGCCACTCCATGTGGTCACCTTTATTTGAGATGGTGGCAAAGTCATATGACCTCTCTCTTCTCAGTCCTGGCCCTACTGTGTGGATGTAAATTCAGTGTTAAGGTAACCACTGGAGGAAGCCATGAGTCCTGTATGTCACCAGGACAGTGGGGGTCATGTTAGGAAATTAGTTAATGTGATTGTGATTTGAGACAACTAAACTAGGACAGTTTACAGTTAAAGAAAAAAGGAAAATTTAGGTGCACAAACACTTTAAGTGATTTGAATAATTATTAAATGTTAAGATAGGTCTTGGAAAATTGATGAAACCTTTGAGAAGTTTGCAAAACAAATGTTTCTGGTTGTCTTATAAAAGACTGGCTGTGAGGTAGCTGTTCAAAATTATATATACACATATAAAGAAAGCAATAAACAAATCTAAGCTGCATCCTTCTTTGTTCTTTAGAGCAATCTAGAATATGGTTGTTTATTAAGATGCCTGGCATGTTCTTAATGTAAATTTCATCAATCATTATAAGAAATCAGCTTTTGCATTTAGTCCTGTTTCTTCTTAGGGTAAAGATGGTATCAGATGTTCCCATCCACTCCTAAAATCATTGGCTGTGAAGTGGTTGTTCAGACAGACTTATTTAAAGTCACCACCAACTCTCCCTGCTGCATCTACACCAGATACTCAGCATTAACGAGGGCCGGTCTTATTTCAGCCTGCTAAAAGAAGCTAGATTGAGGGGTTTTGGGCCGGCACTACGCAGTTCAACAACCCAGAAAAGTTCCTGTCCTGCACCTTTCTCACTGGTCTCTGAGGGTTACCCCCCTCAAACCCCTCCCCCATCGTCTGTTTTCAGTACTCTGGACATATCATGGCCTTCCTCAGACAGGAACTTTTTTTTTCAGCATCTAGTGCTTTTGAGGGTTTTTTGTTGTTGTTGTTTTTTGTTTTTTAGGAAGGCAGGAGGTGAGAGCTCAGGTGGTGAAGCACTTGCCATGCAAGCATGAGGACCTCAGTTCAATACCCAGCGCCCATGTCAACAGCTAGGCAGGCTGACATGCATCCATGTGCTCATGAAGTGAAGACAGGAAGCTCCCTGGAGCCTACTGGCCAGCTAGCGTAGCTGAACCCATGAACCCAGCCCCCATCCCAGTAAGACACCTCGTGTGGTAGTTTGAATATAATTGGCCTCCATAATCTTATAGGGAGTGGCACTATTAGGAGATGTGGCTTTGTTAAAGCGGGGAGCTTTTTTGCAGGAAGTGTGCCAATGTGGAGGCAGGCTTTGAAGTTTCCTATGCTCAAGGTACTACCCAGTGTCTCAGTTTACTTCCTGTTGTTGTCTTCTTATCTATGTGTGGCAGCTCCTTCTCTAGCACTCTGCCATGATGAAAATGGACTAAACCTCTGAAACTGTAAGCTGCCACCTCAATTAAATGTTTTCCTTTATAAGAGTTGCTGTGGTCATGGTATCTCGTCACAGCAGTAGAAACTCTAAGACACCTTGTCTGCAAAAAAAGTGGGTAGTTCCTCAAAGGAACAGCACCCAAGGTTGTCCTTTGGTCTCCCCATGCATGTGTCCATGTATACATGTGGACAGACATACACGGGTACACAAATGATAAAATATGCTTTTACATGTGGACAGGCACAGGTACACACATGATTAAATATGCTTTTAAAATTGAATCTCCATCAGTTCCTGGGTTCAAATGATGGGTGTTTGAATTTTTAACAGCTTATGCTCAGGAAAGCTCATGGTGCCTCAGCCATCCTGTATACTGTAAGAGGTGTCACATTGTTTTTGTCATGAATTTTCATGAAAAAAAATTTTGCCAAATTTTCAGTTTGGCAATTGAACCTTGAAGTTTCTATAATTACCACAAAGAGGCTTTTTCCCAAGGAGCATGGTCAAGATGCAGGCAAGCAAAATGGGCCTGGCATCCCCTGCAGGGCAGGGGCACAACAGTCTCTTAAAGAAGCTTCTGTCTAAGTCTGTTTTGTTTTAATTTGTTTATTATTATTATGTGGGGTGTGGGGCATGTGACAGTCAGATGGCAAACTTGTGGAGTCCACTCTCCCTGAGAGATGAACTCTGAGGACCCACTGAGCCATCTCACCAGCACTCCTTACTTTTTAACATTTCTTTTACTATTTGAGGTTATAAAGTAATGAAATAGTTTCCCCCTTCCCATTCCTTCCTCTGAGTCCTCCCTATAGTCCTCCCTGCTGTTTCTAATTCATAGCCTCTTTTTTCATTATTTGTTGTTACACACACATATATGTGTGTATGTATACATATATATTCCTAAATACATAAGTACCATCTGCTCCATCTGTATAGTATATAAGACCTATATATTATATAAGTATATAGGTGTATATTTTCAGGGTTACTTGGTATTAGATAGCCAACCAGTGTTTTCCTCTCTGGAGAAGACTATTTCTCGCACTCTGGGCATTCCTTAGCTGCCTGTAGTTCTTTGTGTCCGGTTGAGGCCTCCTGCTCCCCTCCCCCAACCCCTGTACATCTCCACATGTCCATTGTCGGTGTTCAGCTCATGTTTGGGCAGTCATGTTGGTGAGGCTTTATGGGGGTAGCATCTGACATTCCTAGGACACCCATGCTCAGCAAACTCCCTGGTCCTCTGGCCCTCACACTCTTTTTGCCACCTCTCCCACAATGTCCCCTGAGCCTGAGGTGTGGGGTGTTTTGTGTCCACTGGGACTGGTCTCCACGGTTCTACATTTTGATTGGTTGTGACTTTCTGTAGCAGTCAGCATCTGCTGGAAAGAGAAGTGTCCTTGGTGAGGGGGGAGGACCACACTTATCTGTGGGTGCAAGGACAGTTATTTAGGATGTACTGAGGGATATTTTGCTGTTATTTTTTTCTGATAGCCACAGATTTGCACAGTTGATCAGTTTTACTGTGCACCATTAACCTCTGTCTTTTGTCTCTCTAGACGTCGACTCATCTCCCAGAGATCATCTTTGGAGACCCTGGAAGATATTGAGGAGAATGCCCCTCTCCGGAGGTACGTTCTCATGCTTCATGTATTCATATGTTGTAACAGCTGCCAGTACATGGGTGATTTTTTTTTTCAGTTTCTGACCTTCTGAATTAAATTTTAAGAATAAGCATTTGGCTCCCAGGGACAAAGAATTCTCAGTGTGGAACCTCAACCCCGAAGACATGAAAACTAATAGACTGGAGCAGGCCAGTCTGCCTGCAGATTTCACGGTTCTTTTTCTTGTGGTTACCTCTGTGGTTGGTGTTCCTCTGAGGATGCTAAGGATGGCACCAAGGCCTTGGTATGTTAACTGTCTGCAGTGGCTCTTGAATCTCAGCCCCAGCCACCCTTTGCTTCTTGAAGGTGGCTGCTATGGAAGCAGGGCCATATTAATGCTAACATTCAGCTTCACTCTCAGCAGGAGAAGCAACCAGATCTCCTCAGGAGGTGACCGTGACGTCACTCCCTAGCTAGTTGCTGGGGCAACCTGATGGAGATAGTTGCAAGTACTCCCTTGGGTTTGGAAGCATTCCATCCCATTTTTTTCTACCGGATTACAAAAGTGCTGGTGAGGCACATTTTTGGGATGACAGCAATTGCTTGTGACTGGCAGGTTTCCCTCCCCTCATCCTGCCCTCTCTGTTGGCCCACATCTTTACAGAGGTTTTCCTTGTAAAGGAGAAAACGCTCGCTCACATGCTGTGTCTTCTTGCCTTCTCCCTGCAGCTCCAAGCTGGCAAGGGAAAAAGTATGGTTCCGTCCTTTGAAATAGCCAAAGCCAGGGAGACAGGTGTAGCTTCACTATGAGGACTGAGGAGCAGAGGGCAGACAAGAAGACCTGTGGGAGGCTGGCAGCTCCCATGGACTAGCGTTAGTCCTTCCAGAGCCTGCATCTGTCTTCCATTTGCTTGGCTACATTCCAGGATGTAGCTGCTCCCTGGAGCCCGGGCAGTGCCACTGTGGAGGGCAGAGCAATGTTCTGAGAGGGACACCAATGTGGGAAGCAGGGAAGCAAACACATATATCAAGTGACTGTGAATCTGGTCACTAACATCATGCAGAAGGTCAGGGACTGACAGGCTGGTCTCTACTTTTGAAGTCTTTGGAAATATACCGAGCTCCCAGAAGCCCCAAAGGACATGTTCTGTGAGGCAGTATTTTCCCTGAAGGCACCACACATCAGCCCCATTAAAATGCAAGGTTTTGATCCGAATAATTGGTGAGCATGAAGGAGGGAAAACCATGTTCCCAGGTGACAAGTGGCTTTGGCCTGAGCGGTAAATCATCTCCACCCAAGTCTACCCCACCCCCACCTGCAGCAGAGAGGGAACCAGCTAGGAGAGATGAGTGGGGGCTCAGGGCTTCCAGAAGCAGGTGTTTGGAGTTGTGTGGCAACTGCTAGCAGAACAACTCCAGCCGATCCGGGTAGAGGTAAAAATTGTCCCCACTAGGGTTCAAGACTGGGCTATTGTGTCCCCAGGAAATTAGAGGGCTGAGGGAGACTTGGGTTCCCCGTTACCCCTGAGACCTCCTCTTAGATTTACCCAGACTGGAAGAAGAGTGAAAATCACTTGTTCTACAGTAGCTGACTTCTCCCAAATTGTGCTTACAGAATATTGTCCTGAATTTCAAGGGAAATTTGTGTAAATGTAAATATCTAAAAGTAACCTGAAATCAAGGCGTTTTAGAAGTCTTTATTTCTCCAAATGAGCTTGAAAACAAACAAACAACTTCTCAGGGCCAATGAGATGCTCACTGGGTGAGGGCTCTTGCCACCTGTCCTGATGACCTGAGTTTGATCCCTGGGACCTATATAGTAGAAGAGGACAACCTATAGATTGTTCTTTATCTCCACACAAGTGCTGTGTGGCCCTCGTGTGCTCCGTTGATCTGTACATACATACATACATACATACATACATACATACATACATACATAAGCAAATAAGGGTAACGACTTCAAAAAAGGTGTTCATATTTTCTTAGAAATGCCTTGCTCCTAGGAAATAAAGTGATGTAGGAGAAAGCGTGCTAGTTGGGGATGTAGGGCTCGCTTGGTATCAGACAAGCTTCTGTGAAATGGGAGGGCCTAGATAGGCTGACCTATGAAGTTATTTTGCAGCCTCTGACAGGAACTGTCCCAGGAATGGCACTGAAGTGATCTGGGAACTGTGGGGGTGGAAGGAAGGCTCTAGCTTAGTTTGCTTTCAACGTTGGCATGTAAAACAGTTGCCTCCAAGGTGCCTATTAAAACCTGAGCATAATTGAGTATATCCTCTAATCAGTGCTTAACAAGGAAGAACTAAACTTTCATTGAATTAGTTTTTAATTTCATTCTCTCCTAATTTAATTTCGCATCACTCAAAGTGTATGCTTTTAAATAGGTATTTACATGTTAATGCAGGCAGCTCTGTGAATCAGTCCTTTGCCTAACCTGTTGTCACCTGCAGCCCAGTATTCCAGTTTCCTTGGCAATTGTTGCTAATGGTGCTCTTAAAGCTTCCATCCCCTGATGTTTGGACTGAACGCTTTTAAAAGCCGCCCAGCACGCAGCTTGCTGAGTAAGGCTTATGTTAGTGAGTGCAAAGAGCTGACATCCAGAGATTCGTCTTTTATTGTTTTCCTTTGTCTAGTACGTCACAGTCAGTGCTTCCTGTGCACACCCAAGGCTTCAAGAATGAAGATTTCCAGGAGTCTGCCACCTGCCTGGTGATCACCAGGGACCCCAAAACACGACCCTAGGACATCTCTTCTAGGTCCCTGGAGCAGTCTTGATTGACCTCCCGTGGCCATGGCAGCCACCAGCACCTGTCTGCTTTCTTAGACTGACTTGGTTGATGGGGTTGGAGCTACCACTGTTGAAGTCATTATTGCAGCCACCTCCTTACCCAGCTGGCACTCCCAGCTGCCTGTGGTCCTTTTGCTGAATTCCAGTCTCTACAGCAGCCCAAGGACTCATGGTCCCTCTGTGCAGGCACTGGAGGTGGGGGCAGCCCCAGGTCATTCTCCTTGATGTCATTAGTACCCACTAGGACTAGAGCTTGTCAGGTGTGTCAGGCTTAGTGAGCTCACCACCTGCTCCCCATCTAGCGCTCAGCCTGCTTCCTCTCAGACTGGCTGCCACAGAAAGCTCCCGTTTGAGGGTGGGGCAGAGTTCGGAACAAGGATAGTCTTAAACCTGTGACCCTATGGAGAATCCCCTAGACGCGTAAGTTCTTTTATGTTTATGCTCCAACGATTCTTTTCTCACCAGCAACCCTATGTTTCTAGAGCCTTCTGTATAAGACAATAGGAACCTTGAGTGGCTTTTAGACCTCAGCAGTCATTCTGGGGTCAGCATGGAGGCAGTTTGTTTCCAGAAAGCAGTCTCAAGAAGGCAGATAGAGGCTCTGTGTCTGCATGAGCACCAGAACTAAAAGCCTGAAGTCTGTAGAGTTAGATGGAGCTGTCAGCACCATCCCTGGCTCTGCCTTTACTGGATTTCCTCAGGCAGCACTCTGCAAGGCTTCTAAAGAAATTCCTTTTAAAGCTATGAATTTAGAGCCTTCAATAAAGGCTGCAGTGTTGAGAATATAGAGGTCTACCCCCACCCCCTCCCAGCTCACAGCTTATTAATAATATAACACTTGAAATTTGCATATGATGTGTGTACATGCCTGTGTGTAAGTGCACTCATTCCAAAGGGTTACTTGGCAGTTTATGAAACACAGACACACATGTGTCTATATTCATTTAATTTTCACAGTAATTAATGGCAGTGGGGATTGCAAGTGTTGCTAATAGAGTTAGTTGGGAGCCCTGAGTGGTCTGTAACACCAGCAGTCCTGAATCAGGGTTACAGTAATTTCAGGGTTAGAGGTGGGGAGGGCCATGCCTCTGCTGGAGCAGCAGCCCACTGTAAGGGACAGTGATGGGAAGTGGGGCCTCCCCTCTGGACACACAGCCCACAGAAGGACTCTTCCTAGTAAAAACCACAAAACCACTGATCTCTCGCCTTTTCTTGGGCCTGCATGACTCGCTTCAGTGGGATTTATTCAAGCAAGGTTATATATTGTGATCTGTACTCTATGAAAGGCCTTCCAAAAAGGCTAACCTCTGCTGGAAGGGTTGGTTAGGGTAGATGAGGATTTTCCCTGGGGGAGACTAAAGACTGGGGTTGTCCTGTAGGTCTGGAACCCTTGTTGTTCCCCAATTCAGTTCCCACATGTGCCCCATACCCCCTTCTGCTATTAATTTTACATCCCGTGGAGACATCTCCTCCCTGGAGACAGAGCGGACTGTATTCAGATGATGTAGCCACCCAGAGTTCAGTGTGGGCTTTGGGGACCTGGCTTTTCCAGAACCTGTTTTTGGAAGTGTGAGGTTATGGGAACCCACATCCTATAGGAGGAGCCAGTTCTTGATCTCATAGTCAGGAAGGTTTTTAATAGAAGTAGCCTCGTCAGTCATGGTGAGATTTTCAGCTTTGGTAATGGTGTCTGTGTAAGTTAGAATTTAGCATGTTACTTCAACAATTACTGACCACAAGTAAGCTTCCTCAGCTGTGGTCTGTCAGAGACACAAGCAATGCTGCCCATTCTCAGGGGCACTCTGCTTTTTAATTCCAGGTCACTTTGGTTCAATAGATAAGTATTTATTAAAATTTATTCTGAAGCAAACAGCGACTACCTAGGTCTTAATTCTCATTTGGATTTAAGATGTGAGTTCCCAGGTGGAGTCAGGAGTCGGGGCAAGTGTCCAAAGTGTTCAGGCCAATACCACTCCAGAGGAAAAATGACTCAGGGCTGCTTTTAAAATGAACTTTGCATGTTATCCCTCCAGCCCCAAATCTTTGAAATTTTCAGTGTTCTGTTCCCTTTACCTGTATTGATTTAGAGTCTTTCTTTTAGGATGACAAAAAAATTAATGTCCTTGGAATCCATTTAGGTTACATTATTGTAACTGAGGATGATAGTTTTCTTTAGCCAGCTTTTCACAGACTCAGATAAAATGTTATCAGTATTATCAAGGAAATTGTCTGTCATTGGGTTTTTTTAAGTTTCCTTGCTCCCCACTGGCTGTATTGTCTTCATTACCCTCCCCTCCCCCACTCCGGCCTGATTGGGGTGACTCAGCCATTTGTCTGGTCTTTCCTTCCTGTCTTTGTGTGAATATGCCTCACTTGTCCAGTGGGCAACCAATGGTGTTTTTAAATACCTTTTTTTTTTTTTTTTCCAGATGTCGAACACTCTCAGGTTCTCCCAGACCAAAGAATTTTAAGAAGATTCATTTTATCAAGAACATGCGACAGCATGATACCAGGAATGGCAGGTACCACACCAGCATAAAGCTGCCAGGGGAAAGGAGGGGACTGTGACCGCAGCCAGGGGAAAGGAGGGGACTGTTTTAGTGACCAGAGCTGAGCAGGGCTAGACCTATGCATTCATAGCAGATGCCACATCCCCAGACATATCCACCTGGAGAATCCGACTTCTAAAGGCCTGCCTGATGGAAGACTTGGACCAGCAACTAGCTGGCATTCTCATAGGCCATGAGTATGTTTTTATAGAAAACTTTGAACAGAGAAACAGTTGCTTTCTTTTTGTTTTTCTGCTTTGTCTGTTTTGTTTTTGTTGTTCACCAGTACTGCCTGGGCTGTTCAATAAAGTCTGCCAGATCTGCCCCTGAACTCGGCCTTGACTGTGGCATAGGTGACTCTTTAGGAGGGCAGAATCTGAACTTTGGCTGGCAGATCTTTCCTTGGTTTCTGGGCCTGCTGACATCTTTCTCCAGCCCTTCATTAAACAAAAATTATGGTTGAAAAGTATACAAACTTAATATAAAAATTCTCGGGAGGATAGATTGGAATTCTGCCAGCATGCTTCACCCATCCATCCAAGACCTCTGGTGTCCTTAGGGATGGCTCCTCTTAGCTGACATACTGTCTTGAGCAGGTGGCCTGGTGCCAAGCCCACCTTATCTGATAGAATTTCTAGACGATCATGTGGGCTCCCTAACACTCTCAAATTCTTACAAAACTTTGAAATTGCTGAGCTGTCTCTCAGAGATGTCCATTAAGGCCAGCATCCCTGTTATTCTGAGGGTAGGGAATACAGGGTAGGGAATACAGTTTACATCTTGTAGAGTAACACTAAGGAATAAATTTTTAAAGGCCTACCATGTTGAGGCTTATACCTATTTTTTGAGCCTTTTACAAGCAAGGAACATAATTTTATAACAACTGTGATGGTTTCAGAACAGCACAGTTGGGGTCTTCATATATCCCTTCGCAGACTTTAGTGTGGATTGTCTCATTTGGTTTTCCGGCCGGTGTTCACATTTTGCAATGTTTAGAATTTTTGTTTTCACTCTGATGCTCAATGTCTTCAAATTATTGTACCACATTCATTCAGTCACCATTTTGTTTGCTTTTGAGGCTCTTTCTAGTGTCATTTTTAGTCTTTATTTAAATCTTTGGGTTTCTGTCTTTATAACATAGACACAGAAAGGCTGTAATTCCCAAATAAAATCAATGATGAAGCCAAAGAGATGACCCCAGTTAAAAGGATTCCACTTTCAATCCTGACCATCCAGGCACACCATCAGAGGGTTCCCAGACATGGTTACACAGTAAGAGGATATAGCTAATGGAGAAAGAGCAATTGTCTGAGGTTCTACCTGAGTGGGGGTGTGTGGACCTGGAAGCTCCTAGCAATCCAGCGACGATAAGGACCAAACACAGGCATCTTGTCATCTTCAGAGAGCTCTCAGTTCCATTTTGTAGAACTAGAGTCATTTCTTTATTAGCCATCTTTTCTGGTGTTTCTTAACCGTCCTGCAGGGAACCATCTCTCTTTGTTCTCCTCTCTCCTCGCCCTCTGGTCGCTTGCCCCTAACTCTTAACCTCCCGTCCTCACAAGTTACTCACACACCTCTGCCCTCCCTGTCCAGGTGAGGGCCTATTCAGATGCTTAGGTCCACAGAGATGCAAATAAGAGGCATATTACCCTGAGGCCATGGTAAACAATAGTAGCCCTACTGTCATTAACAATAGAATGGTGAGGCCAGAGCTTTCCAGTACTCCATGTTTACTGGCGCTAGAGACTGGGCCCCAAAATATTCCATAACAGAATTATTCGGTCCCCCACAAGCAATAGAATGGGATTTCAAGTTATAGTGTGGAGCTGCCCCCTCCCCGGCCCCACCTAGGACCTCTGTAAGTTACAGTCCAGAGAGGCTGTAGGATTAGGAGTTCTGATAGTGAGCTGTGAGCCAGTGTCAAGGATACAGCCTCCCTGAAGATCTGGGACAGGTGGTAAAGGTGGAAATCAGAGCTGCAAGGACCACGGGCTGTAGGGGGTGCTCTACCTGCTCAGGTGAGAACAGAGAAGTCCACTGAGGTTCACATTCCACCCTGGGATTTATTAGTTAGCGTATATTGTCCTTGTGTGGAACCAAACTAGAAAGGAAGCCAGGAAGAAAATGGGATTTCTGAGGTAAGAGAAGGGAACAGTGGTTGGGGATTGAGGCTGGGAGGATGTGGGCTGGCTCTTCAGAAAGCAAGAGTGGCAGCTTGGCCTGGCTGCAGACAACAAGTGCAGCAGTCTCCTGTGGAAGTGCCCAGACACTCAGGTGAGCTGCCGGCCCAGCCCTACTGGGTAGAAGGACCTCTAGTCATGTGCTTGCTTTTGGGGGGGGATCTTGTACCCCTGCCTCAGGAGTAGGCGTGGTGTGTAAATGAATGTTTGGCTTAGGCCCCCAGCAGTCTCTCACCTGAGCAGTGTTGATCCCTGCTGACTGCCGTGCACAATCCCAACACCTTCTGGTGATTTCCCATAAGCCCACAGTCTAGTTTCCAGTCTAAGTGCAAAAGTGGGACTCTTGGCTCATCTACCCTGAAGATGCTGGTGTGGGGGCCTCCCTTGCCCCTTAGAGGTCTGGCAGTATGATAGAGGCTGTTATTGAAGATATTTGACATCTCACAAAACAAGCAGGGAACATTGGCACAAGACTCTGGGCTAGAAACGAGTTTGAAACATAACTTTGAGATAGAAATGAGAGAAAGGTAACCAAAAACTGAGAACTATATATAACAGAGATAGTATTATAGCATTGAAAGAAAAGCAACCACACACACACACACACACACACACACACACACACACACACACACACACACACACACACACACACACACAGGCAAATATAAAACGTGAGCTGGCCTCATAGTTGGTAGTGTAAAAGTGTCTGCTGACAGATTGGGAACAGCATCCCTCTGTGACACAGACAAACGTAGCTGGCCTATGCGGTGGTTGGAAGCAACTTGAATAGAAGCACTTGGTTGCCATTCAAGTGGATTCACATTTCAATTGTGTGAGGAAGAATTGCAGAGGAAAACAGCTGAGCATCCTCCTGCACCAGAGGGAGCAAGCCATGGCCCCTCCCCTGACCTGCAGCCAGGGGAACTAGGGGACCTGCAAAATTAGGGCTCACACAGGAGTTTATGCTTATGCTCCAGGCTTATGCTCCAGCCCTAGGGGGAGGGATCATTGTGGGTTTATAGTAGGAAAAGAAAGTGGTTCCCAACTAAGAAGTGGACCCTTGGGGCAAGGATTACCTTGCCAAGGAGTTGATAAAGTAGCAACTGTCAGAAATTGATAGTGATTAATGCTCAGGGGCATGAGGTGGCTCAGTTCTCTCAGAATTGAGGCACAGAATGTGTTTGTTTTTCAACTCAAACTCAACAGATAGCCTGGCATGGTAGCACACATCTTTACTTCCTGTACCCAGGAGGCAGAAACAGGTGGATCTCTTCGAGTTCTAGGCCAGCCTAGGCAACATAGACCTTTGAGACCTTGTCTCAAAAATCAAGAACTTCGATAGGCTGTCCAAGTGTGGTGATGCCTGTGAGGTCAGGATTTGGGAGGGAGGGCAAGACAGTCACAAGTTTGAGGACAGCTCGAGCTATGAAGGGAATCCCTATCACAAAATCCAAGGGCCGGCGCTGTAGCTCCATACTGGAGTGCTTGCCTAACATGTATGAGGCTCCAGGTTCCGTCTCCAATACTCAAAAAAAAAAAAAAAAAAAAAAAAAAAAAAAAAAAAACACCAAAAAAGTAATCCTTGGAATGATTTCTTATAAGGATGGCACCACTCTCTTATTTGTGGTAAACAGAGTAATATCTCTCACCACTGAGGTGTGCTCCCTTCCCACACCTGTGAGCATAGACACTATGTCACACTAGTGTCTCACCACTAAGGTGTCTACCTCCTTGCCCCACACCTGTTGAGTATGGACAGCTATATCACAAGGAGGCTTTGAGCTTGCTAATGAGCTCACCTTCAAATTGGAGGTAATGGCCTTTATAATCAAAGCCCTTCACGGCAGAAGAGGGAATCTGATGATGGGATGGGATGTTTGTTTTGCCTTGATTGGCTTTGAAGGTGGAAATAAGGCTAAAAGACAAGGCGTGCAAGTGGCCACAAAAAGGACCATCAAACCAGTTCTGCCCACACCTCCAGAGGGGACCAGCCCTGCAGACCCATGTTAGAGACTGACTCTAGAATTAGAAGAGTCAATAATAACTTTGTTGCTTTAAGCCACTAAGTTACCTACCGATCTTGCTAGGAAATGAATGCACTGGTTAGTCCTAGTTAACAGAGCAAATACAGAAAAGAGGGAGGCGGAACTGCAGCCCAGGTGTGTGACCGAATACCTCTGGAGCTGTGTGTGACCGCATACCTCTTCATGAGCATGCGGGAGCTGTGTGTGACCGCATACCTCTTCATGAGCATGCGGGAGCTGTGTGTGACCGCATACCTCTTCATGAGCATGCGGGAGCTGTGTGTGACCGCATACCTCTTCATGAGCATGCGGGAGCTGTGTGTGACCGCATACCTCTTCATGAGCATGCGGGAGCTGTGTGTGACCGCATACCTCTTCATGAGCATGCGGGAGCTGTGTGTGACCGCATACCTCTTCATGAGCATGCGGGAGCTGTGTGTGACCGCATACCTCTTCATGAGCATGCGGGAGCTGTGTGTGACCGCATACCTCTTCATGAGCATGCGGGAGCTGTGTGTGACCGCATACCTCTTCATGAGCATGCGGGAGCTGTGTGTGACCGCATACCTCTTCATGAGCATGCGGGAGCTGTGTGTGACCGCATACCTCTTCATGAGCATGCGGGAGCTGTGTGTGACCGCATACCTCTTCATGAGCATGCGGGAGCTGTGTGTGACCGCATACCTCTTCATGAGCATGCGGGAGCTGTGTGTGACCGCATACCTCTTCATGAGCATGCGGGAGCTGTGTGTGACCGCATACCTCT